AAAAAAAAAAAAAAAAAAAAAGAGAAGTAATAAAGGCCTCAAGAGAATGGTGAGGGATAGTACTCTGGCAGCTCCAGAGGCTCTAAGGAAGTGCTTGACCTTCTGAAGGCCTATTGGGTACAGTCTCCCAGCACACCAGCACCAAAGCTGCCCAAGGGTGGGGAGTCTAAGCTTGATATGACCTTGTAGGCACCTCCCTTCTCAGGACACATGGAGTTTCTATCCCCTCCCATGGGCCAACCCAAGCCTAGAGGGAGGACCCAGATTGCACTGGGACCCACTACCTGTCCTCCCTGCCCAGCACACTCACCTGACACTGGTGCGGAGGTCCCAGTAGCGCACATAGGTGTCATAGCCACAGGACAGCAGTGTAGAAGGGGACTCATACATGACGTCCAGCACCCCAGCCCCTGGAGGAAAATCACTGCCCAAGTGTGTCACCAGCTGTCCACTGAGGGGAAGAAAGGCAGAGAGTGAAGGGCTGCCCCACATTGGCCTACTCTTTGAACTTTCAGATGTCATTAGACCTTGGAGAAAGGAAGCTCTCCTTCCTCCTTAGCTTGTGCAAGAGGGTGGAAAGAGGAGATGCTGACTCCTAGCCCTCTCACCCCCACCATGAGGCCTCTCCAGCTAGTCCCAACTCCCTTCCCTCTCCCATCATCCCAGCACCACCACCCCACCCCCGCCCAATCCTTTCCATCACACCTGCATGCTGCTACCCCCAGCCCAGCCCAGCCACTCCTCCTCAGCCCAGGACATTGAATGGGCCTTGCTGAAGGGGTTGCCCCCCCCCACATGGTTACTTTATACTCCTTGATCCTACAGGTCATGCAGTTCTGAGCTGCCTGAGTCCAATGCCTTAATTCCTGCCTGTAATCTGGGGCTCAAACCTCATTGGGGATAAAGACCACACAAAGGGAGAAGGGGAGTCCCAGGAGATGTTAAAACAAGTAAACACCTTTGTGTCTGGGGAGAGAAATCGCTGAGAAAGCAGCTTAGCAGGCTGTCCCTGGTGTTCCTGGCCCGGCTGGCCCCCAGCCTGAGGCTAGCACGCCTCTGTGATCACAGCCCCCAGCCCTGCTGGGCTCCAACCTGCTCCCCCCACCCTCACCCCACCCGGTGGCCAAGAGCAGATTACTGAGAAGAACAATTTCTTTGTGACTGTGTAATTCCCTCCGTGACCGCGGCAGTGGGCAGACCCCTTGCCCCAATGCCAGACCCCTAGCAACCATGTAGGGGGGCCCCCTGGCCCTAGCAACTACCCCTCAACATCAAGTGCACCCGCTAATCCCTGTGGCTAGGAGATGGGGGGAAGTATTGCCTTTCTGCAGAATGACTGAGAGGAATGAAGGAGAAGGGGTACTCTCCAGGCCCAATGCCTCAGTTTCTTTTTCACCCATGAGATGCTGGGCTCCATGGTGTGAGGAGAAACAAGGCCATGGATACTTTACAAGGACATCTAGGTAGGAGGTCCTGGCATGGAGTGGAGAGGACTTCATAGCCTCAGCAGCTCACCTTTGGCCAAAGCAGCCTTTTAGCAAAGGATTGAGGCAGGAAAGGCTGTCAGCCATGCATCGTGAGTGCAAACTTCAGTTTTAGTCTTTCCCCCTCACTCAGATTATGACCCTCAACCTTCCTTCCTATTGCAGCTGCCATCTTCCCTGAAGGCTAAAGGAAGGAAGCAGCTGGTTGGGGTGTGGGGTCCTTTCTGCTCACTCTGCCTTTCCCTTTTAGCTCTGAGCAGTAAGCCCCAGCAAGGAGCCCTATCTCCCTAGTTGGGGGTGGGGGTAGGTCCCAAGTCAGCACCCCTGTCCCTAACTCCCTTCTCAGGGAAGTTCTTATCTTCCTCTCAGTATCCTAGTGCTGGGCCTGAGTGGGAAAGATGACAAGCCTCTGTCTGGCAGGAACATCAGGGAGAAGGCCATCTCCCCAGCTCAATGTCCCACAGACTGATCTGACCACTGACCTTGGCTCCCAGAGAAGCCCAGCTTCTCAGATGGGCCACCACCCATGTCTCAGTTTCTCTCTCTCTTACTCTCTCTCTCTCTCTCTCACACACACACACACACACACAGATAAACCAGGTAGGGGCTGTTTTGTTCCATAGTTCTTCCTTTCCTTTCAGATTTGGGGACCCTGCCCCCTCCATTAGTGAGGGCTTAAGGAGTGATTGAGGAGCTCTCCCCTTTAATCTACAGAAGTAATTTCATGTTTGTCTGTTTGAAATAGAAGATGAAAGGCAGTAGGGGTTGGGAGAAGTAAAGCCTAACATGGCTCTGCCTGCCCATCCCTGGTCCTAGGATTCAGAAGGAAGGAGAGCTGGGCACCCATGGGGCTGGGCAGGGACAGCAGCGCAAGAGGCACACCCAGACTGGGTTACCAACTTGGGCTCTTGCTCCTCCTTCGAAGACACCACTGGAAAATGTTTGGGCCTTAAGTATCTGTAACATGAAATAGAGAATACCACTAGGGGCCAATGCCCTCTGGGGGAGACCCAAGGGCCCAAGTAAGCACCAGCCCCTGGGAACTAGCACAGGTCCTGAGAGCCCCTCAATTTGCCAGCCCATCCTGGTCTGGGGCTGAGGACTTTCTTTCTGCCACATTATTCTCTGATTCTCTGAAATGGCCACACACACTTTAAATGGGCCAATAAAAAGATACAATTTCTTTTGCCTCTGGGCCTAGGACCCTCAAGGCTCTGTTGTGCAGTGCCTGTGAGGTTAAGTTCAGAGCATAAACTGACACACCAGGCTCTGGGAAATGGCCTGTCTCTTCAAATAGCAGCCCAGCAGTGCCATAGAAGCCCTGCTGAGGCTTTGATTTGGGAAAACAAACAGAAATGGTACTGTGGGCTCTTCAAGGCCCCCACCTCAAGACCTATTTAACTAGAAAACTCTAGCTCAACTACTCTGGTGGAGGGAGAGACTGGCCTGACAATAGCTCCAAACTTTGGGGGAAACAGGGACAAAACAAGCTGTCTGTTTCCTCACCCCCTCCTCCTGGGCTCCTTTTCTAATTGCAAGTGTGTTCTTGTAAAAACGATTAGATTGCAATTTGTATAACATGGCAACCCCCAAATTCAGACATTTCACCCCTTTTCTCTAGAAAGAATGTTAAGAATGCTTCTCGGCCTCTCACTGTGGGAGGTGGGGGGGGGTGTGCAGAGCCTTGGCTGTGGCACAATTTGTGTGGGAACAGCGTTGCTGCTCAGAGCTCTGGGCCAAGACAGGAGCAAGGGCCAGTCTGTCACTATAGAGGGCCAGACAAAAAGTCCATTCCCTTCCAACTCCTGTGGACAAAGCCCAGGCCTCCAGGAGCCGCTGAAGGCTGGGGTTGGGGGAGGACTTCCACATCCCAGCCTCCCCTGAGCCTGACTCCAGCAATTCTCTCTACCCAGGGAAGGATAAAGACAGATGGGGCTTGCCTGTGTGAGCCTGATGAATGAGACAGAGGCTGGGGAGGGGCAGCCTGAAGGAGACCTATTTCCTTGGCCCTGGCTATGTGGCCTACTCCTGGGAGCCCCCAGTGCCTGTGCAGGAAGAAGCAAGAAGAGTGTGGTGGCCACATCCTTGAGTGGTCCCTTGAAAAGTGAAACAGGTCCCCCTGGCCCATCCCATTCTGCTGCCCAGGTGATTCTACTACAGCTGGGCAGAAGAGAGAGGAATTCCGTGCCAGTCAGAGAGGAGGGATTTTAAGCAAAACAATAATACCCATCACTGCAGGTAGGTGCTGGCCCTAAAGACCTAGATGACCTACCTGGGAGAGTCCCTGAGCACCAAGCTTAGGGGCCACAGAGGCACAGGGGCAGTCTCTGGCACCCTACTCCCCAAGTATGGGCCCGCAGAGCTAGGAAGCCTGGTACCCTGCTGACTCTTCTCCTAGCCTTCCCCACAAGCTCTTGTACTAGAGTGCTCCTGAATCATCACTGGCTGACTTCCACCTCCCAGCCCACATCTCAGGATGCCCACAGCTCCCACACCATTTTCCAGCCATTTTTAACATACCAGGTTTCTGATGATGTTCCCTAGAAACCGCATAGGTCTCCTCTATCTGTTTGGGTATAAGGACACCCTGTCTAGTATGGACTATCCCAAAATGCAACAGTGGCTTTTGTGGAGAGAAAGGATGGAAGAGTGAGAAACAGTTTACCTTCTTCCATCTCCTCTTCTCCCTGAGATGCAGATGGCCTAAAGGTAGAAGCTGTACCCAACATGGATGGGTACAGAGAATGGGAGGTTTTTCCTACCTTCCTTCCACTTCCTCCTCCTTTCAATCAGCAACCATTAATTTAGCACCTTCTGTGTATACAAGGCATTGTGTTTAATAGAAGCTACAGAGAGATGTGAGCAATGATATGATGGACACACTTAGTGCTTGCAAGGACTTTTCATTCCAGCAAAGGAGAGATGTATGGATCAAGTATCCACCTAACAATATAAAGTGTGACTTGATAGATACCATAGGAAGACAAGAGAAAGTTCTATAAGGAGTCAGATAAGAAAAAAGAACATTTCTGGCTGGGGGTATTGACTGATTGTTCACTGAGGGACAGGACTTTGACAGGCAAAGACAGGAGAGGGAGAAACAACAAAGGTGCAGAGGCAGGGCAGCCAGGCTATTCTGCAGTGGTTGGTAATTTGCTGGATAGAGGCTTGGGAGTGTGAGAGGAACAAGCTGGCAGGATCTGGCTTCCAGACATGGTGGGAGGGTACATAGGTGTACCTTAGGGTGCATACCCCTCATTTGGCATTAACTCTGTGAGTAGCAGAAAGCTGTGAGGCTTTTGAGCAGGAAGTGATTGTCTTAGTTTGTCCCCCTGGTTGCAGCTAAGGAAACTGAGTATCACAGAGGAAAAGTGACTTTCTTTTCTTTCTTTTTTTTTTTTTTTTGAGAAAAGGGCTCCCTTTTTCACTCTAGGGAGGGGGTATGCCACCCTGTGGCATCACAGCACAGCAACCTCAAACTCTTGGGCTTAGGCAATTCTCTTGCCTCAGCCTCCCAAGTAGCTGGGACTACAGGCACCTGCCACCAACGCCCAGCCATTTTTGTTGTTGTTGCTATTGCAGTTTGGCCGGGAGCAGGTTTGAACCCACCACCCTCAGTATATGGGGCTAGTGCCCTACCCACTGAGCCACAGGCACTGCCCCAAAGTGACTTTCTTAAGATCAGGAATCAAAAAAGGGTAGAGCTTGAATTCATGATAAAGGCTGAGTTCCTGGCAAACCAGTCTGGTAGCAGCATTCAGGCTGACAAGAACAGAGGGAACTGAAGTACCTGCTCTCTTCTGTGTCTTCTGGGGCCTGCTAAGACAGATATGCTGGTTACCTGGTGGCAGAGTAGCCACCACAGCTGCAGCTCACGTGAGTCCATTCTGTGCTCCGGGCACTGTGTTGAGTGCTTATTTAATCCTCACAACAGGACTATGAGGTAAGTTTCTTAACCCCATTTTAT